GTCTCTTCTTTTTTAAATTGGGGTGAACAGTTCAAGTGAAGACCTCTCACTATTAAAAAGACAGTCTGCTGCCTGGCATGTGTGTCTGAACGGTTCCCACTTCTTTTTATCTTCAATGGCAGGTCAAGCTTGTCCCTTCAGAATCAGCCTTTGCTCCTGAGGTTACATTTGCAATCACATGGCTGGGGGTGTTCGGATACTTTGAAAGCTATGGGAGTAAGAAGGTAGGGAGCTGGTGTAAACTGTCTTTGTGGGGATATTATAAGGCAGCCTTTCCCAACAGGCCTCTCATCGAAATATCATCGAATACAGGAAATATTTGTGAAGAAATGTTCCCAATTCTTCCAAAGAAGGTGCTTTATGCAGTACCATCCTAGATACATAAAAGGAGTTAATTCATTACATACAAAGGATGGATGTCTTAGGACACTGGTTCTCCAAGAGGACTTGCATTGGGATCACCTGGATATTTACCAGACATTTGAATTCTTGCACCCCACCCCAGACCTAGGGGATCAAAACTCTGGGGCTAGGGCTTAGCACTCGGTTTAATCAAGCCCTCCGTGTGGTTTTGCTACATGTTAAAGTTCCAGAGTTCCTAGTAGCCATACAGTGCCAGGGCTTCATTCTCTCATAGAGGAATCCAGGTTGGGGGGAAAAAAAAAGGCTGCTAAGGGCTTCAAATGTCTCCATCTGTATTTGTATCTATATTTATCTCAGTTTAAAATTTAAAAAATATATCACTTTAAACTTCCAGAATTTTCTTTTAAAAAAGTAGAGTGTGTCAAAATGGAAAAGTGATTTGCCTTTTCCAGTCCACTTTGGAAGATTGCTCTATTATTTCCCCCATTCACGAGATTTATGTTGAATGTGTTCCCTGCAGCTGCGCCCCAGCCTGCATGCACGCTCTGCCTGGGTGCCTCTCTGACCCACTGCCAGGTTCATAAACCCACACAGCCCTTCCTGAGAACTCTCAATGCAGGACAGGGCCTAGGGCAGAATTCTCACCCCCACCCGAAACAAACACAAAGAGTAATGTAATTAGTGTGCTACAGGATTGGATCTGGGGTTGATGAGGAGCAACTTTAATATTTGTCAATAAACAGCAAAGTGCTTAGCACACCTCCTAGGGAAGTAATTAACCATAAAAAGGATGCTCAACACCAAGGAATCTCCTCCAAAAAAAGAACGCTGTTAATTGTGAATTGCTTACGCCAGGTGAGAGAGAATTGTTGTCTACCTCGCTCACCTGACACAAGCAACTCTGAATTAACCAGGAGTTTCCTTTTATAAACACCACACAGTCTTTTTTTTTTTCTCTTTGCGGTTAATTACTTCCTTGAGAGGTTTGCTTTAATAGTTCCCATAACAAGGACATTATTGTCTTTAGCATAATCACTGTCTCATTTGCTTTTGTGCCCTGCCTTTCTGACCACTTTGCCTTCGCCTGCCAGAGGGACCCTGAATAGTGCCCATTCGGCACCCTTAGGCTGGACCCGACTGAGCCTCTTCCAGCTTCACCACTTCAGGAATTTGGATACACCTGCCGGGAGCCAGGACCAGGGGTAGGACCACTGGGGAGGGAGGCAGGTGCCACAGAGCACGTTGGGGAGACTGAGTCTCCGGAATGCACTCTCTCCCCCATGTGTGACGTTCCAGTCACTTGCTACATTTTCAGCTGCTGACACCCAGAGCAGAGAAGAGAGCCAGGAAAGCAGCTCCTTTCTGGAAGTAGAAGCTGATCTGTGAGGAACCGTTGTGCTCAGTGAAACCACCGGGGAGGCAGAAGCAAAAACAGCGAGGCGAGGCTTACTGGCAAAAGTAGCGCAATTCTGACTCTCTTGAAAAAAAATGCATTATGTAGTTACGCCTCACCTTGTTAAAAAATGAATTAAAACGGCTTCTATTTTGGCTCTGTTTCAGGAAAGAAAAAAATGAATGAATGGGAACTCTGTAAACTGCAGCAGGTCTGTAAATGGCTTTGACTGTGTATGCCTATCAATGTATGTGCATCTGTTTATTTACAAATTATATATAATGACAATCATGGTTTAGGGAATCATGGATTCCCTGAAAAATGTTCATTAAAGGGATGAGGGAAAATAAACATAGAATGTCTAATGCTCTCATCTATCACTCCGATGGGTTGCACCCCACTTTGGACCCATTAGGGCCATGAAGGTGGGGGTGACTTTGACTCTGTTACTGATGTTCCTAGATAGCATTGACTGACACATAGGAGATCTATATACATTTATGTTAACTCAAATAATTGAACTCACGGATCTTCTTATACCCTGAAACAATGGCCCTCAGCGAATTCCTACTAGTTAGTAATTTTGCTGGGGGTGCATCACACACCTGTACTCACATCTGGGAAACATTCCACCGTATTCTTAGATCAGGAGGTCCGTGTGCTAACACCACCCCATGAAGCCTTAGAATCTTAGCTCCATCTGGAAGTAACACTGGAAAATTCATCTCAGAGGTTTAGAACAGGGGTTGGAACATTTTTCCTGTGAAGGGCCAGGGAGTAATTTTTTGGCTTTGACAGATATGTAGTCTTTGTTGGGTTCAGCTCTGCCATTCAGGGTGAAAGCAGCCACAGACAAAACACAAGCAAATGGACGTGGCTATATTCCTGTACATGGGAGGAGGAGGTTAAGGGATACAAGGTATCACTTATGCAAGATAAGTAAGTTCAGGTGATCTACTATACAGCGGTGTCTACAGCTAACAATACATACACTTAAAATTTGCTAAAAGGGCCGGGCTCGGTGCCTCAGCCTGTAATCCCGCGCCTTGGGAGGCTGAGGTGAGTGGATTGCCTGAGCCCACAGGTTCAAGACTCGCCTGGGCAACTTGGTGAGACCTCATCTCTACAACAAATCAAAAATTAGCCGGCGTGGTAGCGCGCACCTGTAGTTCCAGTTACTAGGAAGGCTGAGGTGGAAGGATTGCCGGAGCCCAGCAGGTCGAGGCTGCAGTGGCCGGGAGCAGGCCAGTGTCCTCCAGCCTGGGCAACAGAGTAAGACTCCAACTCAGAAAAAAAAAGAAGAAAGAAAATGGGACTACTTTGGATTTTGTGAGGATTTTAGGATATTTTTATAGGTAAAAAGCTTCTGTTGAAGAGTTCTACTCAACAGGATCTAGAATAATAAATTCTGATGATGATAATGGTGGTTGAGATGATGACAATAAAAAATAACTGTCAACTCCAGAGAATCTGGAAGTAAAACCATGGTCTTTCAA